TACATTGAATGATTCCTGAACTGACGGAAACATGGCTGCCAACATGGACCCATCAGCCCCGGGCTCCAATTCCGTCCACTAGAAATCACTTCATTCTTCACTCAATTTAATTAGTTTTTCATTTTAATTCTTATTTTTTTCACTCATCTATATCGAAAGTTCTAGGTGAAAGCATAAACGCAAACTTGCTGTTCATACGCTGCTTTTCTTTTTATGTTTTCTGTCATTGTTTAACAGGGCTCGGCCTTATAAACACTTTTAATTCAGCCTAAACCTTTTTGTCAGGTCATGATCCAAATGGGATTGTAGTTTATGTCCTTGTAGTGCTGCAAATAAACTACAACTATGACAACAACTACTACAACAACTACCACTACTATTACAACTGCTACAACATCTACAGCTACAGCAATTACAGCTACTACAACTACAGCTACTACTATCACAACTACAACTAGTATTACTACTACAAACTACAGCTACTACTACAACTACTACTACTACAACAACTACTACAAACTACAGCTACTACTACAACAATTACGACTACAATTACAATTAGAATAACAGCAACTACTACTACTACTACAGTAACTACAACTACAGATACAACAATTACAGATACTACAACTACTACTACAAACTCCAGCTACTACTACAAACTACAGCTACTGCAACCACAACAACTACTATTACTACTACAAACTACAGCTACTACTACAACTACAATTAGAAATAACAACTACTAATACTTCTACTATTACAGCAACTACTACTACTACTACTACTGCAAGGTGGGTATCTAGCAGCAGTAAAAGTGTGTTGCCAAAGGACACAACAGCAGAATGCACTACTAGAACAACTGCTGCCCCTCTGTGGCTCCTGGTTTTAACAACATCCTGGATCTAAATTTTAACATATTAATAATGCAAACTTGAACGTAAATGTTTTTTAAAAATAAGTTTCAGCAAAAATAAGATTATTCTTATTAAGAAAATATACGATAATCCTTGTTTCTGAACCACCGTAGCTTCGCCCGCGTCTGTGTGAAGCGCTGGCATCTTGAGAGCACGTCCATTTTGGATGCTCCTGCCTCCTGTCGGTCTGTCTGTGTCTCAGACTGGCAGCGTGGCACGTTTATGGGCACTCCCCATAAGGTGCCGCTCTGATTGATAGCCCTGCAGCCACCCACCACACCCCCTCCCTCCTTTCAACTCTTCAGCCCTGATTTATTCGTCTAGGTCTCTGTGACTTGGCACTGGCATTGCCCACTACTTCTCGTGCATGTGAAACTCCCCGCGGGCACATTCACTATTATTTGGAGTCCCGATGGGTGAAGGCAATAGACAGAAACCAAAGGCAACTAAACCATAGAGGGGGCACGTACGCACTCAGGCCTGTTTCATCACTCCAGACTGGGACAGCGCTGTGGGCAGGTGAGACCCCCACTCGCCCCTCTCTGAAAGGATTTCTCCACCGCCAGGGCTCAGCTGTGCCCGGGCCAGAGGGGTAAGCAGCTCTGTACTCCTGCCAAAAAGAGATGGGGAGATGAAGCAGGACGGGCCAACGCTAGCAAACACACACATGCACACACACACACATATACACAAGCGGGCACAAGCTAACCACGCGAAGGCTGCCAGTGCCAATCGGAGGTTTATGATCCTTGTCAGCTTGTCAGGTTCTTCATAAAGAGATCAGCCCAAGTGGTGCCCGAATCAACACATAAATAAGATGGATGCAAGGAGGAGGTTTTAGCTCAATACAGTGTGGACCAAGGAAAAAAGGTGAAAAAGAACTGGGGCTCAACTAATCTGTGTATGTACGGTAATAAATGTAAAAAAAATAATAACTTGGCTTAAAATTACTTTAATTTATAGTATTAATTTGGTTTTGAGTAGTTTTGACTAGCTGTAATTTCTTAGTAAATGATTAAGAATATACATAACTATGCCTTATTTGACAATGGTCTTCTGCTATTTTTGCTACTTATTTAGATTTATTATTACCATTTCTATTTTTTCTTTTAGTTTGGTGATGTGTGAGCTACTGTGTCCAAGTAATTCCCCTTGTGCATCAATAATGTTTGTCCAAGTCTAAGTCTATATAGGTTTTAAGACTTTTCTGTTACAAGATAATTCAAATATAAATCGGAACATGAATTTGCCAGCTAAGTGAAAAATTTTACCCCACTGGAAAATAAACTGGCTTAAAATAAAAAGAAAAGTATTGAAACAAGTCATAAATATATTAAAAACATGTACAATTATACCGTAACTTAACAAAATACTGCAGCTATAAGACCCAATTTAGTTTACAATTATTTTATTTCAAGATTGTTTTGTTTACCCAGATACATTTAAAACATTTTCAGAAGTCAAATCCACACTTAAAATAATGCAACGTTTTTGGCTAAATTCAGCATCTCACTTAAAATTTGTCAGTTACAGCAAATTACATGATTAAATACACTATTATCTGACTTTGTTTTTCCACTGTTTTTATAAGCACGTTACTGAATAATTGGGCTTTAATAACAGTGTTTATAAGTCAGTTGTGTTTTTAATGGAAGACGCTTTGTAAATGACAAATTAATTGGACTATAAGCTTAACCTAATATGCAGATCTAACTAATAAACTTAATATTATGAGTTACTAAAGCAGTGTTTCACATTAACAGAGGAGACTATGGTGACCCCACATGTAATCTTTGCCCCTTATTGTCTAAAACAGGCAGAACAAAAAATGTTATTTAAAATTGTACTTGTATGCTTGTTGGAATATCTGGGTCAAATTTTTAAGTACGATATTTGTCTGAAGTAAATATAGATGATAAACAGTAATACTGAAACTAATTTATGCCACTGACACTAGACCCAAGAACAGATTTAAACGACAAAATCTCTTCTAAATCTACAATACTGTTTAAAAAACATGATCTGCAATAAATAAACTGTAGAATGAAGACTTTAGTACTTAATCTGCATCTGTAATGAGTCATAGAAGTTATCAATTCAATCTATATATCTGAAATTTCAAAAGTAACCCAAAATTTTCCAGTAGTGCAAACAAAATGTACACAGATTAAAATATATATATTGTTTCATCTTTCATATACTGAACTTATACATATATACTTGGTTTGTAATGACAATATTGACTTATTAGTCAATATTGTCATTACAAACCAAGATTAGAGGCCAAGTCATATCAAACATCTACAGTAATACTTCAGCTCATTTACATAAAATAGGCTATATAGTCCCAAAAATATATTCCATAAAATTATTCACTTGTGCCTCATAATCTCAGTATACATCTGTACACTGTGATGCAGGGGTCCCCAACCACCAGTCCAGGGCTCAAAATCTTTTAAAAAAGTGTATTTATTTTATAGTCTACCTTCCTATGTATGTGTTTTACTCTGAAAATATAGTGCAAATTAACCTAAATGACAGCAAACATGAGAATTAAACATATTTTTTCAAACAATGGTTATGAATTTTATGCATTTTGTGGTCTTATTACCAGCCCCACCCCCTTTAAACCAGTCCCTGAAAAATGTTTATGCTTATTACCCAGTCCTTACAAGAAAAAAGGTCGAGGACTGATGCTATAATGTACTATTTCACAGCACTTTCCCCCAAAATCCACCAGTTGAAACCACAATCTCCTAATACAAATACATGGACCCAGAAATGAGCTGAACAAGGCGCTGTATTAGAAGCTACAATCTGGTGACCTCGGCGACAGTGAAAACAGACAGCTCATTTGTGCAAGAGGACACGCGAGAATAAATTAATTTGTTACCAAAACTGACAAAATTATGACCCAAGTTAATAGTCTGGTCATAAATATTAACAAGGCTCAGTTAAAATTACAAACCGATTCTTCACATTTGTGCATTTCAGTGACAAATGACAAGTATAAATCTCTCTAGAAAACTGCATACATGTACTTGGGGACATTTGTGTGTAATTCTAATTGTTAATTGTAATTTTAAATGTGTCCAGTTTTGGAAGATTTCAGACAAAAGATTCAGAATTAAATGTATTTTTACAATGATCTATATTGTGTGCTATTTTTGTTATTGTATTATTCATCAGTGAAATATGACGACGGGTCTTTAAATGCATTTCTAGTGACTTTGTTGTTTTGCTCAAGAAGAGTAAGTAAACAGGGGCTTCAACTACCAACCATCCCATCATTATAAAACCAACTAATCTTACATTCATTTTAAGCTGTCTTAATTTCATTATTATTATTTTTTTACAGTAGTATTGCAAGGTAATTACTTCGTTTCCAATACTGTATATACAAATTAAAAAGTACCATTATATTAGAGATTCTGCACTTCTTACTTAACATTTAGTACTTTTACATTTAGTCTGGCACTACCAGTTTTAAATTTAGTATTTTAGTAATTAATATAATGTGGGTTTAAAAGAGTTTACTTAAATGCACATTTTATTGCAAAGATTTAACTTTTTTTCCTTTAGGCTGCTGTTTTTACATTAGAAATTAGAACAAACTGAATGTCAGATTAATTCTCATTGATCCTATTTTAAGGATGTTCTAAATCTAAACCAGGAATGTGCAAACTTTTAACAGAGGAACACATATAGAAACACATTTGTGGTGAATACAGTGAGTGTTTCAAATCGATGCATTTTACAGAGGTTTGACAAAGCCACTGTACATATAAACAAAGATTTTAAACGCTCATTTTAGATCTGCATCACAATACAATGGGATGTTTTTGCAGTTATAGTAGTACAAACATTTATATGTAGTACCTATGATCATCTGAGCCAATTCAGGAGGAGGTCTGAGGTCCATCAAAAATGAAACTGAAGGCCACATTTGGTCCCCGTGCCATAGTTTGGAGAACCCTGATTTGAACTACTGACAGTTTTAAGGTTATTGTTAGGTACTAAATGAAAATCTACAGGTGCCTATCAATTTTATTGTTTAGGCTGCAGTGATTGTACTTGTAAACATTGTGACAAATCGAAACTTTACATTATTTTTCTTTTAATTCTCTGTATCAAGGACGTTCAGTGTGTAACCCGTTAAATCTGGTATTGCAAATTGTCAGTTTAAAGTCATTACAACCAAATTCACCTGTGTGTTGAATAATTAACGGTGCCGCTTGTTTAACTTGCGCGTTGTGTTGACGCCACTTTGATGTTCTTTGACGTGACCTGGCACCGCTGCGCGCGCCGGGACTCGCAGACGCAAACAGTGACATCTAGTGGCCGCTCTAGGAACAACATCCACACAAGAGCAGAGACGCACAGTTCAAACGGTCACATAACTTCCTTTTAATAAACTGAACCAAGAAAACACATATTACAAAATATTTTCATTTTTACAGACACATTAAAGTCTTTCTCTTTTGTTTTCTTGTCCAAAAAAAAACAATAAAACTAAAACTTAAGTATGAAAATCAACTGTTTTTTAAGGGTGCGTTCTTATTGCACAAAAAAAAAAAAGGAAAGCCAATGTTGCACAAGAGGAAACAGATGAAGCTTCAAAGAGAATTAGGAAAAGACTGTAGCTTGTGATCAGAATTAACAAGATAAGAGAGCAGCCAGTGTAGTTAGCTCTATTTGAAACAAGAGCAATACAGTATCTTATCACAGTTAAATATATGAATACTTTGAATTGGTATTTCTCAAATCTTTGATGGAGAATATTATATAAATATATTTAAAGGTGCATTGTGTAACTCTTCTGGTGGAGGTCTGGTCCGTCAAAAGCTTTTCTCCGTGGAGATGTTGTTGCTTTGTCTGGAATGTTTCAAAGTATGGTATTAAACCTTTCTATCTTCATGGAGACCAAACCAGACCAAGTTACAGGTCAGATCTGTGAAGAGGCAACCCCGCTCACAGTCAGAATGATTGTTTTTCGAGGTATTTTTAAGCTATAAAACCACTTGTAGTTGAATAAATGCAAGGTAGAGCTGTTTAATGTCATACTGTGGAACATTCAAGGCAGAGCAATGACGTATCCATAGAAACGAGCAGGTAACGGACTCCCAATCAAAACGTTACATGGTGTGTCTTTAATGATGAATGGATTATCATAGGGGCAACCTTTGGCAAACAAAATCATTTAAAGATGGGCACACTTACAGGTACCATCTAAACTAAGCCACTTCTTCCCTAATGGGCGAAGATCAGTCAGGGGGCACACGTGAGGCACAATGCATTTTAGTTACTTGGCGTTTATAAAAATTCTTATTCAATTCTTGCCCTTAGTGTTATATTTAAATGCAGAATCTGTCAAAAGCGGACAAGGCTGCGTTGAGCACGACAATCATATGGGTGGTTTAGCTTTAAGTCCATTGGTAGCTTTATAGCAACCTGCAAATCATGGTAGACTTTTCTCGCTTTCCACAACTAAACCACAGCTTATATGGAACAGTCAGCACCTATAAAGGCCCTTTCATATATATCTCTTCTTTGTACCTGCTTTCTTTATCTGTGTCCTGGTTCACCTGTCAATCAACCTGCAGGTAGCTAGGGGGCGCTCTCCTGGTCACTCCACGGGTCAGCGGGTGTAGCGGAGGTCCTCGTCTTTTGCATACTGCGCAGTCTTCGCCGTAGTAACCGTGGTAACTAGTGCAGGTGGAGCCTCCGCAGCTGTGGAGGGTTTAGGGGGCGAAGGCGGAGGCTGTTGTCCCACCGATGAGGAGTCTTCGCCGGGTTGAGATTCAGGGTCCTGTTGGGAGATGAGCTGGAGAAGGGCAGGCCGCCACCGCTGGGCTGATGTCCTGCCCGGGCTGGGTCTCTGTGCCCGGGTGGGGGGCAGATGGAGGAGGGGGTGGAGGTGGAGGGGGTGATGGTGGGCGATGTTCAACCAGCTGGAGGGGCTTCTTTTTGGAGGAATCTGAGGAGAAGAGACAGGATAGAGAAAAGATCAGACATGATGTTATGTAATTCAATAATAGGGTTTATGGGGTCAACTCCAGCTCTGCAACTGTCTGTGTAAATGAGGAGGTTTAAAGGTTTAAGACTCATACACATTGCTTAAAGATACAGTATGTAACATTCTGGAGAAGGCATGACACCTGTATAATTCAATGTTCAAATAACCATAAGTTAAAACCATACTTCAGAGCATTTTTTCAATGCAATAAAAACATAAAAAAACAAACATGCTTTTATTTTGGTCTATTGTTTGACTGAAAAGTTACGTACTATGGCTTTAAAATTATGAATTGCAACTGTAGCGAGAAAATGACCACAGAACAGCTGACACAGTACACTGCTGATGCTACTGAAAACCAAAATAAACAACGAACAATAGTGCAATTTTTATATATTTTTGTTAATGTAGGGAGAAGAGTGAGACTGCTTGTATGGGTGCACCTTTAATATAATTTGCCTTAAGATTTACAAATTATGAAAACTTAATTGAAGGGGTAAATTCCTTGCCGATTATACTTGTTTTTGTTCTATTATTGTGCAAATTTTTCAATAAAAATTTAATTATAAAAAAAAATTATTAAATTATAAAAATGACAAAAAATTATTAAATTAAAATAGAAGCACTCTTAAGTGTACAAACTATATTGAGCTTAATAGAGGCTCACCACTCTAATTGCGTTCCTTATGTAAAATTCACTTTAACATGGTATACAATTTTAGATTATATATTACACACTTGAGTCTATAAATATCTCATAGCCAATTGCGATTGAAAATGTTTATAGCTCTAATAGCTCTTCTAAAACAATTAACGCATTATCTTATCAAGATAAGGAGGCAATTTTTTTTGTGTAAACTCAATAAAGCTATGATGAATTAAATGTTCAGAATATGTATTTTATGGCAAATTATAAGTATTTTTGCCATTTTTGCTTGTATATATTTAGACTTGGAAGTTTAAAAACAGGGAGGTTCTTTCATTGAGTTTCCCCTGCATAAATAATTGTTCAAAATACTAAAAACAATATTATGACATTTGAACACAAATGTGGATAAAGGAGCCATGTTGTCCTATATATTTTACAGTGAAATACTTTTAGAGTTAGCAGAGACACAAGAGTTACCATCTCCATATCAGCAGCTCAATAATCACTTTTATTCAAAGTACTAGGTCACAGTTGAACTCATGAGTCAGAACAGTCGAAAACAAAAAGTGTGACAAACCAAAGATTAAAAAATAACACATGCAGGTGACGTCTAAAGACCCAAACCATTTATTTTGTTTTCACTTGATAATTTATTAGACTTTTTCTTCTTAAAAATGCTGACATTACAGAAGCAAAACCACCTCCAGCGCTGAATCCATGACACCTGCACTTTAAATGAGATGAGTGTGAAAACGGGACAGATACAGAAACAAAGATCGTGGAAAAAACAATCAAGAAAGTGGTAGGAAAAACTGAAGAGGGAACTATTCTGTGGTAGCGCTAGGTTTTGGTTTTGTTTACAGTGGGAAAGGAGGCACGCGCAGTCTGCCTAAGTCAAATGAGTTATGCAGAGCGTGGATTTTGTTGGAATGTCACGGATGATGAGAGCCTTAATGAAACAATGTCCCCATACACCTTTTTCTCTGTTGAATCTCTCCTTTAATTTCCGATACCAAAGTAGATTCTATCCCAGGCAACAATGTTTACTTTCTCATCTCATATTCCCCCAACTGTTCCCAATGCGTGGCACCGACCTAACCCCAGCTCTGCCCACAATCGTCGCCCCCTAGAGACTAAACCCAGACTTGCCCTTGCGATCAGTAGTAGCGGCAGACGAAGCGCGACTCAGTGCCTCCTCTGATTGGATGCCATTGCTCTCGTCGCTTTGTTCCGCCCCCTCAGTCTGTGGCTTCATCATGTGCCCCAAAATGAGAGCCAGCAGGTTGGCCTGGTCTTCTTGGCTGAGCGTGGGTGAGGCCTCGTGGGGTTCAGAGGGAGGAGGAGGAGGTGGTGGTGGGGGAGGTGGAGCTGTGGATGAAGCTGTGGTTTGATGGTGGTCTTCGTGCGCCCCCTGCTGGTCAGAGGATTCACTGAGGGCGGAGAGAGACTGGCTGAGCGTCTCCACATTGGACAGGTTGAGGAGTTGAGTGACTTGGGGCAGACTGAGGTCACTCTGGCCCTGCAGGAGATTCAGCAGCACCGCCAGCTCCGTCTGGTTCAACTGTTCTGCGGCAGCTCCGAGGCCTAACGCAGTCACACAAACACAGGTCAGGCGGGCACATGGGCGCCATGAAGGCATCATAACTCGCTCAGGTTTTATTACAATATGTACTTATTCAAATTGTAACCAATCAAAATGTGAACAACTATGCCCAAGTGCATGCTTTGTGATAACCTGGCCAGTCAAACAGTTCACTGTTACATGTTAAAGATGCACCATGTAACTTTGTTGGTGGAGGGTATGTCACTTGCTGGTCTCCATGGAGAGATCGACCAATACATGATTTTTCACGACTAATGCCGATACTAATTGTTTAGAATCCAGAGGCCAGATGGCCAATGATCTCTGCAGATTTTTTTCCGTAGATATGCAGGGTACATTTTGGTCATTTTCATCAAATGATTTTGTTATAATTTAGTACAAACTCCACACCTTATTTGACTACAAACATCTTAAGGTTAAAGTGTTTGAATAAAGATTCATGCATATATTTTTCATGCATATTTCAGCAGCTGGTTGGGCTAAAATCGGTCTCTGCTGGAAATTTAAGACCCATAGCCAATGTTAAAAACTGCAAATATCGGCTCGAGTCTCCCTTCATCTCTATGGAGATTGCTTTGCCATAGTATAACATTAAACATTATTTTATGTATTAAATATACAAATTGTAAGAAAGAAACTGAAAAAAAGACAAGAATGAAAATACAAATAAAATTCTGTTGTAAATCAATAAATGCAGCTTTCCAGGTGCTTTTATTGCTCAAAATACCTTCAACATCTTTAATTCTTTCGGTGAGATGGTTCACCTCTCCACAGACCCGACCTGTAACTTGGCCTGCTAGGCGCCACCTGCTACCCTCTTGAATATACACAAGTATAATGTAAGGCAAAGCAGTAAAATCTCCGGGCAGGGAGACAAGCAAGTAGTGGACCCTTCACCAGAAAAGTTACATAGTGCCCCTTTAATACAGATGAATTAACTAATAGTGGCCCACCATTTTAAAGACAGGCTGGACAATATTTCAAATAACCAATGGTTTTATATTTTGCATTATAATGTTATTTAATTAAATCCCAACATCCCAATCATCAACATAACCTTCACTAGAAAATCATGTGGCGGTGCCTGGACTGTTTTCCCCCTCTATGAATAAAACGAAAACCACCAAAGGAACAATACAATTTTGCTTTTTATCTATAATTAACTGCAGAAATAAATACTTTAAACAAGGTGAAAGTTAAACTAGTTAGATTAAACGTGACTGGCCAGGTTAACATTTCCATATTAAGTGATTCATTAAAGATCTTCAGTGTAAGTTTTATTTTGTTGACAGAGATAACTTGTTTTGTACTTGGCACTTGGCTGAGAGCATTACACCACCTTTAGAGCTGTGAGACTTGACGTAGATGCATCATGCTACAAACAGAACAGTCAAACTAAAAATATTGAAATCACCAATTTGCTTAATTTAGAAAACCACAGAAGTTAGAACATCTTTCTCTTGTATCTCTTCTGAACACTCACTTTCTGTCAGAGCCGTTGGGGGTTTTCCAGGAGGGGGAGGAGGGGGGCTGAGGGGGGGTCGGCTGTTCTCCCCTCCGGAGGTCCCGCTGGGGTCCTTACGGGGCACTTTGGGCACAGGCACATCCTCGGACACCCCACTCTGACGCGCACGCCGCCGCTTCTTGCTCCACAGCTCGTGACAGTCCTGGTGGTGGGGAAGACTACACGCACGCACGCACAAACGCACACACGCACGAGCACGGACGCACAAAGAGACACAAACATGCACATTGGGTTTTCATGCTTCTTGGGGACATTAAATTGACCTGAAGTCGCTTCCTGGAGAGTGATCTTAATCTTAACCACAATCACTGTTTGCCTTATTAACTTATCTTAACCCGTATCTGAACTTTAAATCATGTTGTTCATCTACTAATAAAAGGACTTACATCAGAGAAATGTCTTTACCCCATGGGCAAGGCAAGTCCCCATAAATTCAGTGTGTATATAAATGCTAGTAATATAAATACCTGCACACAGTTACAATTCTCAATATATGTGAAAGGGAAAATACATGAAATAATGCAATACTAAAACATTAAAATTGTTGGGTAAGTTTGAGAAAAGCCACCATATTACTCTTTACTCAGCGTACTTGTAGTTTCATAATTTTCAACATGATTCCATTCATGTAAGACTAATATATTTTATTTTGAATTCTCTTCCCATTTGCTTGGAGTTTGTGAGCTACTGTCTCCAAGTAATTTCCCTTGTGGGTCAATTTGTTTAATCGAAGTCAAAGTCCAGACTTGTTATCCATACTCTGACAGTAGTTATGGAAGAATGTTCTAATATTACTTAACACCTAAAACGTCAACTCTAACTGATGGGTAGATATGTCAAAGTGAATACAGACATAACTACAGATGTGGAAATTTCAAACAAAAAAGTAAAATTTAACAAGCAAAGAGGAGTATGCCCTCATCTATAAAAACACCTGGTCTCTCTATGCAGGATGCTGAAAGCTAGTGTTAGGAAATTTTGCAAAACATGGTATTTCTTATGTTTAAATTTGTACAGTTGACAGTGTTAGAGCAGTGGCCCCCCAACCAGAAGGTCAGAGATGAATAAAATACTTGAGAAATGTTTGGTCCCTACAAATTTATAGGAGATAAATATTGATTATTTGCAACCCAAGGCATTTTCTGATACCCCCAAACTACACCTCTAAGTCCTTTTCTCTTTGTTCTTCTTTAAACACATTGTACAAAAGTGTCTTAACCTATACTCCCTAAAGAAGGCCAAAGAAACAAAGAGCTACTAACTCTGGGGGAGGCATTTTGTTGGGCTCCACGTCGGACAGGAAGTCACTGTTCAGAGCCTGTTCAGAGGTGCAGCGCCGTGAGGGGTCAAGGGTCAGCATTCGGTCAAACAGGTCCAGGGCGGGGAGAGGCAAACTGTCGAGATATAGAACATGATTTAAACACAAGAGGCAAAGGGGCAGAAGTATCAAGAACCGCCTGACAGGCTGTTAAAAGGTTAAGAACAAAGGTGTACCCCATAGACAGAGATTATTACAGCATTATGTTTAATATAGTTTCATAGTTTGGGGAGACTAAATTATTGTAGAAACTTAAAGGTGCATTGTGTAACTTTTCTGGCGCAGGATCCATAACCTGCTTGTTTCCATGGCTATGTCATTGCTCTGCCTGAAATGTTCCACAGTGTGACATTAAAAAGCTCTACCTTAGATGTATCCAATTACAATTAGATGTATCCAATTACAATTAGATGTATCCAATTATAGCTCAAAAATACCTAGAAAGACAAGCATTCTGACTGTGAGCAGGGTCGCCTCTCCACAGATCTGACCTACAACTTGGTTTGGTCTCCATGAAGATAGAAAGGTTTAATGCCATACTGCGAAACATTCCAGAAAAAGCAGTAATCTCCATGAAGAAAAGCTGACACGCCCCTCCACCAGAAAAGTTACATAATGCACCTTTAAGTCATATTGCGAAAAATAATGCTGCAAAGAGATTAAAATTAAAAGCAATTTCTAGCCACAGTTTAGAAAATCAAACAATGGATTTAAACATATGACATTTACATTTCTTATATTTAAATAGTGAACCCAAAATATTTAGTAATAAAACAATAAGCTAAAATGTAACTGCCTTTTTAAAACCTTCCCATAAAAACCTTAACATTTTTACACCATACAGAAAACTCCTTTCAACTGTCACTTAACTTAAATAATTCAATATTCACAAACTTAAACATACCATGTGTTGCATATTTAAAGGTGAACTGCATAACATTTCTGATGGAGAGTGTCTCTGGTGCTGTAACTGCTTTGCCTGAAATGTCCTACTGTACTGCATTTAATATGTATTTACTATTTATTTCATTACAGACAAAATCTATTTTATGGAAGTCTTGGGTACTAAAGAAATCATTTGTACATGTTTCTAGCTTTAACTTGTACTAGTGATGTCCATGGAGATTGATAAGATTAATGCCAGACTGTGGAATATTTGAAGCAAAGCAAAAACAAGCAGATGGTAACATAGATACCCCTACAACATAATAGTCCTGATACTCACAAGGCAAACTCCTCCCGTAGCCGGCGCCTGTATTGCTTCTTGGGCTTCATTGTGTTGAAAAGCGGAAGTTTGATGACATCAGGCCAGGCAGCGGGACAGGGGCTACCACAGAGACGGCTAAAGAAACACAAAGGGACATTTCACATTAACAAAACTAGTAATGCACAACAGCCAAACAGCAGCTTTCATGTCGGCCTGTCATGGTAATACACTCTGAATGTTTCTGATGATAGACAATAACAAATTATATATAACCAAGTTTTGCCACTGACATAATAACCCTAAAGAAGGACTATCCCTAGCAAAAAAAAAAAAAAAAAAATCAGAGCACAAAACTGTAAAATAACTATAAAAGTGTTTCATTCTGCATTTTATTCATTAAGAGTTCATGAGTCATAAAAATGATTTATGCAACACTCTCTACAACTACAGAAGTACAGAAGAACTGAGCTAAATAGTGACCGGCTGCTCCAGTTCTGGAAGTAAATTTTCCATTCATTTTTCACATAGACATTTTGAAAAAATCTAATAGTTAGAGTTCAAAGAATCACAGAGGCTTACTAATATCCATAACACGGTTGTTTTAAGACCAAAACCCACATTAAAAACACAAGATTCTGCAAAATGTTTTAATAACACAATGGTTTATAAAGTTTTAGAATCAGATTTTTAATACAATTACACGTTTTATGGTCATTAGTTACCATGTAGCAGATTAAAACTGATCAAGCTCTCAGAATTTTTTATTTTTTTTTTTTTTTGGGGAAAGTCTATAGGACAAATGTATGAGAAATTTACTTCTGAAAATAGCCGGGGGTAGGCAGTTACTGCTGAGCTCATAACAAACACCACTAGTACAGAAAAAATACCAAAAACTTACCAAAGAGAACTACTGACCTCACCCCCCACCCCCTCACATATAAACAAACATAATACGACAGCATTTACCTGATGAGCTCAAGTTGCAGCAGCTCCTGATTTGCTTGGAATATTGGCTTCTTTGTAAACAGCTCCCCAAGAATACACCTAAAACAGAAATTTAATTAACAAATCTATAAATAACTTTCTTATCTTTTGTTGAACCAAGATTTAAGTGTGAAATCAGAACACCTTAATTGCTTAGAAGGCAAAAAAAAAAAGTTACTCGGTGGTGTTACTTCGTTGTATTCGTTGTTATGATTCAAAAACACTTGGGCTGCAGTATCGGGGTGAGCTTCGGGCTAGCGTGGTGGGCGGAAGATTTTAGCTCGCACAAAGCA